ACAGTGTCACACGCCTGGAAATAATTTCTGTCGACTTCTGCTTCTCTTTTCTTACGTTTTCGGTATATAGTCCGACACTGACCCGACTGCAGGAGCAACACCGCTTCGGCCCGTTTCGCACTAACTAGTAATTTGAGCTGGCTTCTTGCCTCGTATGAAAGACATTAATGTGCTCCATGTAACACCGCCATTCATGTTCCAGGCAGGCAGGCCCCGGGCTTGGCAGCGCGCCGGGGGCGCTGCTCCCCCCACTCCTGCTCTCCTATTCAAGTCTACTTCCCATCCCCTCGCCCACCGTGGCTTGGTACACGCCGTTTTTATTACTTCAAACAGAAGTTTTCAAAATAAAACTCTTGTAAAAGTTAAAATTATGTTGTTGTTTTTTCGGTTTTTTAAAGTGGACTTGGCGTGGCACGAGGTCGCCTGTAATAGCTCGATTTAGAACTCGTGCTGTGGCACACAACTAAAACCAGAGGGAGGACAACAAAGCATTTTTTGGTTGAGCGGAACATCTCATCCCGACCGATGCTAGCGTGAGATTGCGATCAACTGCCGGTGGGCTAGGCCCAGCCAGGCTGTAGGCCGGGCCCGGGCCACGGGGGGAGTAGTCTCTTCCACTCCACTCAAACGCTCGGCAAATTTGTATGACACGGAGTAGGTCGTTTCTTTAACTCACCCGAGAGAAAAAAAAAACGCGTTTGCTAGGTGAAATACAAATAGTCAAATGATAAAATTGTAAAAGAAAACGAAAAAAACATGCAACAAAATGAATCCTTGGTGACCCTACCCTACTTAATATCGCAGAAACATTCTGCAGAGTGAATATAGTCTACAACATGCAACCAATTTTGAGTCAATGAAAGTGCTGTATAGCTTCAGAGCATAAGATCATACCTTTTCAAGACTATTCTCTTTTTCTGTAATATTTTGTCTAAGTGCAATACAGGGTTGCAGAAGATGGTAAAATAGCCACAAAATAGCCTAATGTACCTAATACAGGCAAGAGCATAAATTTTGTAAAATTGTAACTTTTTAAGTATATATTTAAACTATTAGATATGTCACCTACATCACCAGATCAACTTCTTCAAAAGATAACCTGGGTATAATACTTACATATTTGAAGTTTACAAACCACATGCAATCTGTTAGATTTTCCAAAAATGCAGTAACTAGAAGGATTGTGAGTGTGTGTGCGCGCACACACTTACTTGAAAGAGTTTAAATGTGAAACTAACCACAGTAATTATCAAAAAACCTTTGTAAAGAAGTATTACTCATCACTATTGATACCCAACATATCAAGTGAAAATTTGCCAGAAACATTATTATTAAATGTACAGTGAGTGTTTATACCTTGTGCGTAAGTGCATTGCTAAACACAATAAAGAAGATGAAACTAGACGAGAATTCTAAATAAGCATCACTAGAAAAACTTGAACCAGAATACCTTTTTAACATTTTGTATCTCTGCCTTGACACACTGACATCCTTCAAGCAAGAAACGATCAATTAGATCAAACATAAAAATAAAGGACATTTAAATATTATTAGAAAAAACAATGATAGTAATGTTTTTCTTCATATATATTATAGGCAATTGATATGAAAAATAAATTTCATAGTTATATTTTCAACGGAATGGCCATAAACAGGTAGAAACCCACTCAGATATAACCCCCTAAACAATAAGGTTACAGTATCACAAAAGGGAAGCGGCTATAGCCCATAATGTCACATCTGCACATGGATAGAAGCAACAGTTGACTGGTCACGAGCTACATTTCATTACATCATGATCTGTGTAAGATGTACTTTGTTGCATAGGTAAACGGTCTCTACAAATTAGCAGACTTGAACACAACAAGCAACTGGCCCGACACATACTGAGCGTGAAAGGCAAATCAATGAGCAGATTCCCAAAGTCCCATCAATGGTTCCAAGGTACTTAACCTGCTCCGGGCAGCAAGTCAGCGCTGCCGAAGCTTTAGGCCCGGGCGTCATGACAGCCAGTAGATAACCCCCGTCACCAACGAAGTTGGCAGTTGGGGAGGTCATTCAACTGGAGAGATTTGCGACTAATTTTAACTCGGGGGTGTGCGCGGCTGGGACTGGGAAATTGGAGCACATATTCTACGACAGCAGATGTAGAGCGTCGAGCCAAGATGCGGCACATATGGGCGCAGTTTGTTCAGATCGTCGCGGCTTACCTGTTTGACGAGGGGCAGCAGGGTCCTCTCGATGCTGCGCGTTTTTATCTCAAGATTGTCCCAGTCTTTCGGCTTGTTTGCAGCCATGTTTACCGTGGGTCGTCTGCTCCACTCGCTGTTGTAGTTGTTGTAGTCGCAGTAGCAGTAGCTATTATTTATTCTTTGCTAATACCAACCTTACAAATATTTTTTCCCGCACACATCTCTGAAGCCGATTTTAAGGATGTCGGTTGATTGGAGAAACACAGAAGAAACATCTCCAGATTTAATGTTGAAGAATACGTAATCTTTTTCAGCCCCCTTTATTCGCAATAATGGGTCATCTTCCGGTTTTTCATTCGTGTTTTCTTAAAGTTTGCACCGGTTCAAAACCATGCGGGGAAGAAGACTAAAAGACAACAAACTGAAAACGTCGTAGAAGTAATGTTGTTTTCAAAATGGCCGAAATGTGTTGGAATTCGTGAGGCAAGTCATCGCTCAAGTGAATTAAAATGTGAATCACTTGTGACGTACCTAAGTAAGTTTATGATATTTTCCTCAGAAATTCATGCTTCTTCTTCCATCGTCATATCAAGTGTCATTAGTGCTTGACTCTCGAGATTCCATGCAAACTCGCGTTTACTTTGCAAAAATGTAGGCCTTGTCCATTCATAACCTTGGATTGATGACCAAAACTATTGTCATTTGAGGTTTTGTTCGTAATTGCAACATTAATTTGTCGGGAAATGATAATAATTTTTGTGTTTCGCCATGTTATTTTCCCAAATAATTGTCTGTTCTAATGAAAAAAAACATTGGGAAAATAATTTGTTGGCAGTCTTCTATCAACTGTTTCTATGGTAGCAGAAGACGCACTTTCTGCTTCTCCCCCTCATTGTTCGAATTCATGTGGTTTAACTTCACTCGAATCTGCATTCTATTGAACTTCCAATATAGTTTTATAATTCAAAACTTTATAATTGAGCAACTTTTTTTCTGCATGTTTTCATATCAACAGGCATGATGGTTGTATTTTTCTATCAGTAAAAGTGTCACCTGCTCCAGTATTACATTTCTGTTTTTTGTATTAATTTACTGTATTTTGATTTTTTGATTTTTTTAGAAAAAATTGGAAGCAGGAGATGTTCAGCTACAGAGACCCAACAGGTTGCTATGGAGATCATAATGTTGACTCATACCCTCAAAATGTTGATGAAACTGAAAAAATGTCCTCAACATCTGCACCGGGCCTGTCTTCATGGAACATGCACCCATCAGGCTCTACAACCCATGGCTCACCACACGGGGTCCACCCAGGTCAGACCCAGCCAGCACATGCATCCCACTCTTCGGCAACCACTCACTATCACGGAACTTCATTTCATCACCATACAGGAAATGCTGGAATGGATTCCTATGCATATTCCATACCACAGGTATGTTCTTCACTATTCCTCAATAGCATTGTACTCTGCTTCCAATCAGATAAGATATTCATTTTTCAAGTCAGTACAGGACTCAGTAATTGTCATTTTAATTTTAATCATAATTTTTGTGCTGTCATTGATTTGGAAATGAAAGTAACAAGTTTGAATCTAATTCATTCAGTATTTTTCGCTTCCCTGCTTAGTGTATCTTATACCCTCTTTATATTGTAATTATTTTTGTGCAGGTGCCTCAAAAGGACTCTGAACCGATAACGAGCAAGGATTTGATGAGGTCATCATCGCCTCCACCAACACGTAGCGCCGCTGTAGCTGCTGCCGCAGCTGCAGGTGCTTGGCAGAACAATCGATCCCGTACAAGATATCCAGCTGCTGTTACAAATGGTGCATTTGTGCCCTATCCGACTCCTTACTTTGATTTGGAAGGAAACAGCCACAGTATGGTCCATGGTACACATGGGAGCCATAGTTCCCACGGTCATTCAATACCCAGAAAGCAGTCATGGTCAAGTGAAGGGCCGTATACAAATGTACCTAGTGGTCAGTTCCAGAGAGATGCCCCTTCAATGATGTACAGTGATAATGTCAGGGGAAACGTTTCAAGTAGCATCATTAGGCATACAAGTGTTGCAGGAATGGAAGCAAGAAATTCAACTTCTCACCAGCATCAAGTAGTTCATCAACATGTTCACCAGCAACAGTCATCTCTTCTGCAACACCAACACCAACATTCTCATCAGCTGCTGTGCCAATTAGTTCAGAAAGAACGTGATGCACATCGATTACCTGGCTACCAAGATACTAGACATCCTGGTGTTCGAAACCATATACCAGGATACCATGAAGCAATTTTTCCACAACACCAGCATCCTCAATTCTGCAATTCACAAGAAATGTTGCGGAAGGGACCTATGCCAGCGTCTATGGAGGGAGACCGTCGAAGTGCTTTCACAGCAAGACAAGCCCCTTCATACAATCACAGCAACTGGAACAAAAATGCAGGTCCATTCCTACCATTTCCACCTCATCAGATGCTACCCTCACACAGGAGTGCTGCTTCTGCCTTTCAGCCTTGCAACAAAGCTGGGGAACCCGAAATGTACCCTGATGGTATCATGTGGTCTAAATCAGGACAAATGGATCATGGAAGCCACATTCAAATGTCTGGACATACATGGATGCCTAATCCTCAATCGCAAATGTTCTTGCCAAGGCAAATGAACAAGCAAAGTCATATCACAAGTAATACAAACATGTTGGGCCTTGACCCATGTCATTTGGGTCCCCACGCTATGATGCAAGGGCCTGGAGTCAGACAAACTGGTACTGGAGGCCCCATACCAAAAGGAAATGCCATGCCTGTTGCATATCATCAACAGCAACAACTTGATATGCACAACTCTCATTTAAGAACTCAAATGATGAATCCACAGCATTCAGCTCCTCATCAGTCCATGCAACAGCCTCAGATGATGTCGAGCCCAATGTCAAGCTCGCAACACAGCCCTATCGTCTCTAGCCCTCATAACAGTATTCACAGTCCCCATTTAGTGAATCCTTGTTCTCAACAGCAGCAACAGCAGTCTCAGCAGCCAGAATCTTTGCTTGTTTCTGATGACGAGAACAGAAAAGAAAGCGGTGCGTCTAGTCAATCTCTTCGTAATTGTCTTGATGTCCGGCAGTTTTTTTCTCATTGGAATGAAGATGCTGATGTTGGTACACCAAGACCTTGCGTGGATGAAGGAGAAACAACTGAAAATTTGGAGCAGCCTCTTGATATGACAGAAGAAGGGGCTTTAGTAGTACTTGATTGCCGGTCACTCCCAAGGGAAGAGGCTGCCAACTTGCTCACCATGTACCCAGGCATCAATCTTAACCAAGTCTCTGGAGCTGAGGGGCTTCTTTCATGTACAGAGGATGGAATGTTCAACACGTCTTCTGACACAGCTCAGGGTGTCCTTCAAAACCTTCTGGACAGTGCCTGTGGTACAAGTTCAGGTAGCAATTCCACTACTGTGTCCTCACCTGTTGTCAGTCCAACTGGTCAGAGTGGTGCTCGCAGCTTGGACATGCTTCTAAATGCAGCTCTTCCTACACCACCTGCTTCACAAGAACATAACTTGGTGCAAACCAACTTGCCTCTTAGCACACCTGTACCTGGAACTGCAGTTGGTTTGAGTAGTCCTTTATCAACGCAAATGGATGATACCATCAGACCATCACTCATGGATGCCTCAGGATTTGGAATGCTCTCTCCCACCTCTCCTGCTGTTTCTCTCAAGTTTGCAAGCACAACTGTGAACACTCCCTTTGTGAAATTTCCACCAACTGATGACCCTCCTTCAGTTATCCAAACAAATAAGGAACATCCTGGCTTTAGTTCAACACAGCAATATTTGAATGATAAGGGGGAGGCTGATACCGTACCAGCTTCAACAGAAGATGCAATGAAAAGAAGTATGCCTCTCTTATTTGACGAGCCAGAAACCCCTTGCCCTGATGTCACCAGAATTCCATTAAATTCTCAGCCAAAGATTGCTCCATCCCCTGCTTTATCTGATGCAAGCACTGAAAGTAAAAGAAAAGCATCACTTAGAGCATTTCGTAAACGTAAGCTTAACAGTCCAGATCAGGATATTCAAGACAGTTTTGATTCCCATTCACAAGATGCGACAAATATGAATCCCAAAAACTCATCTTCATGTTCAACATTAGAAAGTGACCAAGCAGTAGAACGCTCAAAATGGGCATTTGCTCAAATCAGTGAGAATGCAAAGAATTCCTGTTCTAATAATTCAAGTACCATGAAATCTCCTCATGATTGGGAACCAAGAAACTTTTCAAGTTTTGAAACTGTCAAAGAATTGCCTGCTAGTCAGAGAAAGGTGGATAAAAGCACAACCTCTGTTAAATGCAGCTTTGAGAGTCAAAAGTCTGACAGCACAAAATTTGACAAGAGCACATCACCAACTGTTTTCCTAACCCACAGGGATACTCAAACTGAGGAAACTCGTGGTCGAAGGAAGATAGATCCATCTATATTTAATGATACTTTTGTGCAGACATCAGTGCGCTGTATTCAAGATGAGATTCAAAATGAAACTTATGTACAGACATCTGTTCAATGTCTTCAAGATGAAATTCATAAGAGTTCTGTTGATGAATCTTTGTGCAAGGAGCTTGACGAGAGACTGCCTTTCAAACAGACTGAATCATCCTGCATTGAAAATTCAAGTGTACAAACTGAAATTGATGCTGATTTCCTCATAGGACCAATTCTTCCAAACACTGATATCAAAGAACAAAATGTAAACTCCTCCTTGATCAGTAATTCTGTGGCTGAAACTAATGAAGAAACTAGTACAAAGGTTGTTATATGTAATCAAACTTCTGATATTTCCTGTACATCTAGCCAAATTAGTGCTGCTAATGTTCTCAGGAGTTCTTCTCAGGATATTGCAATTGACAATGAAAACAGTAAAATAGAAACTGTAAATTTTAGAACTAGAAACAACAGCTCTGATGTAGCATTGCAGGTTAACTCAACAGAAACAGATTATGCTGACAAAATATCTAAAACCGTAGCTGAAAATGAACTACCTTTTGATGCTGCAGTGAAAGTGGTTCAGCCTTGCTCAAATGTTGAGGATTCCAGCAAAGTACCATCCAGCAAGGAGGAACTGTTATCTCCAAAGAAAAGTGTAGAAAGAAATAGAAGTGTTGGAACAGGAACTGAGGACCAATATTTATCTAGAATTGTGGACACATCACCAGGAAATATCCCAAAGATCCTCCTCTCTCGGCTCAGGGAAAAATCATCCAAGAAGAATGGAGTTATCAAAAGGCTACCAAGCATTCGTCTAACCAGGGTATGCTCACCAATGAGCTCAAGTTGGTCTGATTCTGAGTACATTTGTTCTGTCTCAGATTCAGAAGTTGGAACACCAACTGAAGTAAACACAAGTACAATGGATTCTACCTTGTCAGACTATGCTAGCAATGATACCTTGGATTCACATCTACCATCACGCAAGAAAATGCATAGCAAACATCGTCATATGAAAGGTCAGAAGACATTGGAAGATTCTCTACCCAAGGAGGACAATTGTAATGCAAGTATTCAGTGCTCAGACGAAAACTTTTCTCACAAAGATGTATCTGTAAACACCAGCTGTCAAACTCATCAGTACTCCAGTCAATCTGAGACATCAAATGAATGCGGAAAAATCTCTGAAAAGGTTCAAAGTCCTGACAATGTTAACATCAATTATTCTGAAGGGATAAACTCAAGGCTAGAACCTGAAAGTTCAGAAAATTGTTTAGTGCCAGTTCTTGCTGGTGATGAAGGTAACGTAGCAGAGAGAGAAGAGACATATCCAGAAAGTGATCAACAAAATGTGCTAGAAGACAAAAATCAAACACCTAATGAGAGTGTTCAAACACTAGATGAGCCTGTGCAAGAGTTGGGTGAAAGTGAGCAAGATCTCACAGAAAATGTTTTAACAGTGTCTAGGAAAGATGTATCCTTCCCAGAAACCAAACTTCTGTTAGAAAAAGACCATCAATCTGATGATCAAAAAGTGCACTGTCTACCTGATGAAAGTGAACATGAGAAAGTGGATGAATCACAACAGGTAGATTTTTGTAAGGATTTTGACATCTCTGAACCTATACCAGATTCATTCACTAATGATAATGTGAATACATTGCCGACTGCTGATCACAATGGGTTGAATAACGCTCTTGCATCTGCAGAGGAGGAAAAGACATATCAGGATTTGCCAGTGTTAAACTCTGATGAAAAGGCTCAAAATCTAAATTCTTTGGATACTTTAACATCTATTAGTGATAGTGAAGTTGTAGCTTGTAAGATTAAAGAAGTGGATATTGGTACAACTTCAAATGTGGAACCATTCCGTGATAACATGGGAACTTTAGAAAATGTCAGTGTGGAACCTAAAAACAATATGCCAGTAGCTCTCTCTACAGCGTCTGAGGATACTTCAGCCACCCAAGAAAGTGCTACTTCTACATGTGAAAAAAGTGAGCTAGATGGAAACTTATCTAATGTTACAGATGTATTGAAAGAACCTCTACAAAACCCTGAGGAAAATGAAATCAGTACAGATGCTCACACTGTTACACCAAAAAATTGGGCTCCTCAAGAAAACACTGTTTGTGCAGAGAGGATTCTGCCTGACCACAGGCAATGTCATGAAAACTTTGACACAGAATTCCAATTGGATCAGGCCAGAGGGCAACAATTTTCTGTTCAGGAAAATGAACCAATTTCAATACAGAGTGGGTCTGTAGAACATTCTTCCATTGTTCAGAAAACCTCCACATGTGATGAAAACTATGTAGAAGACATCCATTCTGAAATATCTCCAGTCTTATTTAAGTCTTGTTTAGAGGCAGGTAAGAGTTCACCAACACAACATAGTTCCCAAAATACTTCTTCAAAACTTGAGTGTGTGCTATATGCCCATACATTAAGTGAGCCTGCAGATACAAACATGACACTTTCATCTATACCTGTAGGTCAGTCTGCAATCAGTGGAGAAATAGAAAAGCCTACTGCAGATGCAATTAGCAATTCTTTCATTGCTCCTCCTCTTGACTTAAGCAGTCAAAAAGAAAAGGTAGATTTAAAGGAAAAAGAAACGTCTTATACAGTCATTAAAGAACTCTCTAAAGAAGGAGGAACGGGAAACTTGAAAAGTTCCTCTCCAAATTCTCATGAAAGTAATGAAAACTTGATAAATGAAATTAACACCGCTGTAAAAGCCAAAGGAGAAACTTTGCTTGCCAATGAAGAAAACCCTGCAGTGGGCTTAGATACCCACAGTATGTCTAGAGATAACACTTCTAGTTGTGAATCTGAGGAAGCAGTCAAATCCACCCAAGAGTCCACAGGTGTAAATGACATGTCATCTAACAGTAATACATCTTTAAGGGAAAGTGAAAATTTAGTGTTGTTAACTGATACTTTTAACACTTCAAGTTGTGCACATTCTAACAGTGATAGAAGTGAAAGTGAGCCCATTAGGATGGATGAGCTTACAACAACAGAGGTTCCCGAATTTCCTTGTTTCTCTCCAGATCCTTATAGAGAGGATCAGTCTCAATCTGATTTGAAAAATTTGGAACCATTGCAGAAAGACAAAAGAGAAGTAGTAGAAGAAGTAAATATTACTACTGAAAGTGACTTACAAAGAGAGAAAGAAGCAGTAGAAGAAGCAACTATTACTATTGAAAGTGATCTGCAAAGAGAGACGGCTTTACTCAGACATGAGAGCGATGAAATTGTGATTCAGAAAAATCCACTTATAAACTTGCATTGTGATGAGTTACCCGATTCAATTTCATCAGAAGATATTTCAAAACATCCAATATCTGAAACAGAACTAGTCGATAAGGATAAGGATGGAAATAATTCCAAACATCCACTATCTGAAACAGAACTAGATGAAAACAATGCAAATGTTTCTAAACATCCACCATCTGAAACAGAACTAGATGAAAACGATGCAAATGATTCTAAACATCCACCATCTGAAGCAGAGCTAGACGAAAATGATGCAAATGATTCTGAACATCCACCATCTGAAACTGAACCAGATGATAAGGATGCAAATGATTCTAAACATCCACCATCTGAAACAGAACTACTCGATAAAGATGCAAATGATTCTAAACATCCACTATCTGAAACAGGACTAGACAACATGGATGCTGATGAGTTAATAGCACCAGTTTTCAGTGGTCCTATACGTTCAAATGACCTAAATACCTCTGAAGTCGAGTCTCTGCAAGATAGCACACATGCTGCATCTGGTCAAATACCAGAAAAATCATATGTTTCACTTTTAGAAATCAAAGAATCTATTGCTTGTAATGATATTTCTGAATCTAAGCAAGTTGGTGTGCAGGTAGAAGACGAATTTGAAATAAGTACTGCCGATAAAGACACGCAGAGCAGTAGTGATGATAGTTTCTCGCTTTCTGATGAAGAAAGAGCGTTCCCTGACCCTCAAGAGCCTAATTTTGATGTAACCCAAATTCCTCTTCCAGATGAGTGCATTGCAATAAAAAACCGCATTCTCAAGGCTAGAAGCCGAAAAAGACGTTTTGAGCGGAGAGATGAAAACATTAGTTCCACTTCTAAGATATTCAATGATACAGGTTCATTTTCAATTGGGGTGCAGTGCTTCAAGCCACAGGATCCCAAAAAATTGTTTGGTTTCAAAAGCAAAGCATCACAAACTCAAAAAATTAAAATCAGTTTATGCCCTCTTGAGCAGACAAGTCAATCTGATTCACACGAGAGCCAAACACTAATGGAAGTTGTTGAAGAGGTTTCGAAAGTTCTGCATGAAGGTGAAAGTAATGCTGCTACTTTCCCTACGGACGTTCAGAAATGTTTGTCAGCATTATCATGTTCACCAAGAAGCCTAAAAGAAAGTGCACACACATCAAGTATGAATCCAGGTAGGGATGAATGTATTTTGTCTAAAACCTACCCTCCAAAAACTGCAGAATCCCTTGGTATGATTGGGGTACATACATTCAATACCTTACTTCCTACTTCTGTTAACAAAGGTCTTTATAATAAAGGCCAATCTATGGATGACAATGAGAGTGTTGATTGCAAAAAAACTGCTAAAGATAGCAGTACATCAAAGGAATGTGATAGTCTTGAGAGTGGTTCCAGTGTGTTTGAAAACATAAAAATTGCAAATTCAGTCAATGTTGACTGTACAAATGAGTCTGGAGAATCATCATCTGTGCTTCTGAGTTGTTCCTCTGAAGCAAAAAACCCCAAAACAAGTACAGGGGTAGTTATCTCTGATTCTTGTGACCGGACAGAGAATGATCTCATTAACAGCTTTGAAGATAGTCATGCTTCACCAAGCTGTTCCAAAGAAGTTCTGGCTTGTCCTGACGCTGAATTAGATGATAAATCAATAGACAGTGCTCAAGAAAAATGTAATCTTCCTGACAAAACTGACCCTCCTTTTTGTTTTTGTGATATTTCCATAGTTAAAAAATTTATTGAAAGGGAAATGTCTGTTTCTGAGCCTTTTGACAGCTCTATACATATGAAGACATTATTAAATAATAAAGTTCTTCCTCAACCAGAAGAAATTAGAGAAACTGCCTTGTTTACTGAAGCAATTGGCGACACTCATAACTCTATTTCTGATACTGCTCAAGAAGTACCATTATCACGTGATAGTGAAGCTACTTCGAAAAGCGAAGAAACTAACAAATTAGTTGTTACTGATTCAAGTAATCCTTCTGACAGCAATAATATGGTAACGTCTGTATCAGTAAATGTTACTGAAGAAGAGTTTCAGTACTGTAATGAGAGTTTAAAGGATCCAAGCCTCATAGTAGAACACCCTATTCCTGAACCTGGGGAGACTGACACCAAAGAAAATGTTAAAAGCTTCCTGATAAACAAACAGGATGAGCAAGATACATACAATCTATTAAAAACTGAAAACTGCGAGAGTCCCAAGAAAAATATTGAGTCTGAAGAAGTGTGTTCATCTATTTGCATTGGTGAGTCTGCCTTTGCTGAAGAAGATAACCAACTGAAAAAGACTGAAAGTTTGGATGGATTTCCCAATTTAGAGGAAATTATTGTTGTTGAAGAAGAAAAGAAAATTGTTTGTGATATTCTAGGAGAAAATGTGCCATGTGTACAGGAGGAGAATATTTTTTTAAGTAATATTTTAGAAGATCAAGGTTCTACCTTGTGTGAAACCAAAACTGAGACTCCTTTGTGCAGTACTGTTCTAGATAGTTACCACAGAAGTGAAGGTACCAGCCATGTACAAACTATGTCATCCACTGACACATTAAAAAGTCTAGCTACTGAAGAAGCTTCAACAACCTGTGACAGTGAGATATTACCTAATGACAAAGAGATTGACTACAAAACAAGAATGTGTCGTAACAAAGAGATAAACAGTAATTGTACTCGGTCTTTTGGGGATGTTCACTTGGAGATTGGTAAAACTATGTGCAAGTTATCATCAGAGTGGCAGTCAATTGGATTTGGTGAAGAGGAGGATAAGATGATCACTTCTTCAAATGTGAAGAAGAGTAAGTCCTTAAATGTGAGAGAAAGTAGTGCATCCACCAAACCAATGATTTTGCCAGCAATTCCTCAAATTGAAAATTATCAAGTTGATGATGGGGACTCTTCAGCCAAACCATCAGATCAAAGCCAGTTGGCTTCTCAAGATTCCAGTGAAGATGAGCTCCCCCCATTGGATGCCCCAGTACTGGAAGCTGCAAGCATTGCCACAGACTCTGACTCTGATCGAGAAATGCCTTGCCTTCAACCAGAATCCAACGACCAAATCTTGGCAAGTCTCTCGAATCAAACTATCATCTCGCCATTAGTTTCACCATGCATAGTATCAGAAGTAGGAGATTCGACTGCAGTTCTAGAGGCACGGTCCCCAGAGCCCACCGGCGAGGCCGAGGCGGCGGAGCAGATCACGGCGCCCGCGAGTAGCTGGAAGGTGAGCCCCATGTACGTCGGGTTGGCCCCACGCAAGGAAATGCCAACCAAACGCACCCGCTCGCCAGACGACCTCGGGGACTCCGATGACTCCCTCTCCGACGCCAGCACCAGCGACAGTGGGAGCAGCAGCAGCAGCCGCAGCAGCCGTAGCAGCCGCAGCAGCCGCTGCAGCCACAGTGATGCATCCAGGGACAGCTCTGGGAACAACATGTCGAGAAGAAAGCCGAGCAAGCGGCGACGACGTGCAAGTGCGAGCAGCAGGTTGTCCAGCAGGCTTTCCAGTAGGCCTTCGAGCAGGATGTCCAGTAGGCCTTCGAGCAGGCTGTCCAGCAGGCCGTCCAGTAGGCCATCCAGCGGACCTTCCAGCAGACCCTCCAGCAGACCTTCTAGCAGACCCTCCAGCAGACCCTCTAGCAGACCTTCTAGCAGACCCTCCAGCAGACCCTCTAGCAGACCTTCCAGCAGACCTTCCAGCAGGCCTTCCAGCAGACCTTCCAGCAGGCCTTCCAGCAGACCGTCCAGCAGACCGTCCAGCAGACCGTCCAGCAGACCGTCCAGCAGACCATCCAGCACACCGTCCAGTAGGCCTTCCAGCTCTGAGAGAGAAATGTGCTGTTACCCGTCCGAGATGGCTGACATGGACAGAGCGCCCCGAGAGGAGAGCCCAGAGGCTGCCGCTGCAGAGGGGAAGCCCAAGGTCGCAGCGGAGGGGGAAGTGCAACTGACTGACGCAGCCACAGTGACAGAGGAGGTGGTCCGTGTCGTGGAGGAGGTGTTGGAGGCCGTGGAGCGGAGGCTCTTTGATGTGGAAGACGTCCCCGTGGCCATCGTTGAGTTAGTAGCCGAGGTCGTTGAAGAGGTGGCTCAGATCGTCGAAGAAAGGGGCGACGTTACTGAAGAGTTGACTGAGTTCGGAGAAGGGGTGGCCGAGGTCGTTGATGGGGTGCTTGAGGTCGTCGAAGAGGTTGAAGGAGAGTCTGAAGTAATAGAAATGCAAGTCGTCCAAGCGGAGTTTCCCTCGAACGAAGAGGAGGCAGGTCAAACTGTCGATGTGGAACTGGAGGCGATGGATTCAATGGTCGTGGGGGCCGAGTGCGTTGATCGCATTGAGATCTCAGACATTCGGTCTGTCGCTAACGACCTAAACGAGTGGACTGGCGCCGGTGCTGACGTGGTGCCCGTCCACATGGATTCGTTGTACAACTGGCCCTACGTGGAGGAGGTTTTCTCCACAGAGGAAGTCTTGCAGGAAGAGGTGGTCCAGACGGAGCCCATTCAAGAGTCAGACATTGAGGAGGGTCATGGTGTAGCCGCGGAGGGTGACGCGGTGGGTGACGCGCGCCCGCAGCTCAGGTGCAGCCTCAGCTTGGCCCGTATCCTCATGGCTGGTGAAAATCTGGTGCTGGGCCCGGCCAAGGTTGCTGTCCGGTCCACCGATTGCCCGACCAGGTCGCCGTCGTCGGGGTTTTCAGACGCTTCCTGCCAACGGGGAAGGGCGCGTGGAAGTGGCCCTTGGAAAGTGGTGGATCGTGACCAGAGCACCGAGTCAGTCCGGAGCGTCCACTCATGCGCGTCCCTCGAAGAGAACAACAACCACCTCCCCGGCACACCTGGCCCACCCACCAAAAGTCCAGTTCCCGGCCCTATCATCAAAGTAAGCAAGCTCATCCTGAAGAGACCAAGCGAGCACGAGCACTTGACAAATAGGTAAGCGTCCTACTATTGCAACTCCCACTTTTTGCCTATTCTCTAGCGTTTTTCTGTTCCCCTTGTTTCCCTTTCTCACCCCCGTGCGTTTTTCCCCTCCAGATCATCCACGGACGACAGCATCGTTCCCAAGACGAAAGGTGCTCTCAAGAGTTATCATGTTGATTCCGAGAGGTCGAAGCGCGGGTCGCGGCGCAGCGGCAGCCGCGGCAGCCATGGCGGCCACGGCAGGCGGCGTTGGTACTCCCAGCTCTCGCCGGCCAGCTCTGCGCGGCCCTGCTCTCCCGGGGCCGGCGTGCACGACTCCGAGGTTCCCAAGGTGATCATCAAGCGTCAGTTCGTGCCGCCGGGTCCCAGGCCGGGGGCTGGCGATGACCCCGGCGGTGGGGCCTGGGCGCGGCGCCGCCTCGCCGCCCCGCAGTCAGCCTCGTGGAGCATGCAGCCCGTCGTGGTCCTTCAGCGCGACCCCGCCGTGGACGCGTTGGCCAAGCCCGCCCAGCGGGACTTCTCGCGGGACCGGCGGCACGGGCGCGAGCACCGAGACTCGCACCGCCGTCACTCCGGACCCCGCAAGCGGTCCCGGTCTGAGCGCGACAGGGAGCGGGGGCGGGGCCGGGATCGAGATCGCAGCCGCGGGCGGAACAGGGAGCGCCCGCACTCGCTGCAGATCCGGACGGAGGTTACCGATGGCCTGGAAGAATCCGGCCCGATAAAGCGTCGCAAGAAGTGGTCTTCACTCAGTCACGACGTGGACCCGAGCTACCGCGATAGGCACCGCGCGGAGGACGCGGCGAGCTGCGCCAGCGACACCCTCCACGTCATGGAGCTGGTGAAGCGCTGGCGGCAGGCTGAGCCCCAGGCCACCCCGTCGGGCCAAGACACGCCCATGCCGCTCTCGTCTCCGAGCCTGGACACAACCTTGACGACCTTGGAAGGCCTTGGTGGACTCTGCCCGAGCCCCGTGCCGCCGCCCCCTGTGCAACCGGAGCCGCCCGCGGCGTCGACCACTTCGCCCCGGCCGGCCGGCGTGCACCAGTGCGAGGCGTGCCTCGCCGACCTGGGTGATGCCGAAGAGAAGGCAAATCACATCAAACTGCATCCCTACCACTGCCAGCGCTGCCATCAGGCCTTCGCCTCCCAGGTGAGTGAGCTGTGTTACAGGTTCACTCTTAAAACAGCTGGCTCTCGAGTCGCGTACGACCCCCGGGGCGACGCCGCTTCTTGCAGTTTAACTTTAAGTAGTGTTATGAGAGGATGTTGTCGGGCGTGGGTTTTTGCGTGGGCCTGTGTTGTATTGGTGGGAGCTGTTGGGGTTCTCACTCCTGCTCACAGGGCGGGGTAGGGCGGGTGGGGCGTTGGGCCTCGGGGTGGGCCGTCGGCTCCACACAGCTGCTGCTTCGCGGGTTGGTCTATCCAGTACGTCGCAGGCGCCATCAATGCGCAGCCTCCTTTATTCCTGGAACCATGTGCTACGGCGTACTCCGGCACGACTCGCACTCTGTGGGTGAAATGGCAAAACTTTACCAATAGGGGCTGTAGCGCTCAGTCATAAAGGCCGCGTCGTCGCGTAACCTGTCTCGGGAAACAACGGGGATTTTCGCAATTTAGTTCGTCTACATTAAAGCTTCATTGTATTTGTTTCCAGAATGAATTTATGCAACACTTGAGAGCAGTTCATCCGAATACACAGCAACTGCATCATTGTCTGCTGTGCCTGAAAACATTTTCTACCGAGCGACAGCATGCTGAGCACATGAAAGTGAGTTCAGAATATTACACAATTTTGCCTTCTGGCCAAATATTAAGTAGTTCGGTCGAATTTGTTGCTTATCAATTGTTCATTTCAGGGGTGGAGTCATTGTCACATGGAGAGGGCTCAGCGGCGGACTATTCACACATTATTCCGAATGTTTACTGGTTCTGACTGCCCTCGTCTAAACCCTCTCACTCCAGAGGAGACACAATCTTTGGACTGGCTGCCTAGTGACCCTGGTGTAATACACTTCTACCACCAAGCAACACCTCTTCAACTAGCTACTGAGGTAGGACATTGCTTTATCTTCTTCCTATCTTTCCGTTGGTTTGTGCATGTGTCTGTTGTTATGACCATTAAATTGTAACTGTTACAGGATCGGCCTTTACATCGTGGCAGCATGTGTGGTCAATCCTCTTCCGGAAAAGACCAAACACTCCTCGACTAGTAGTATTGTGGTAGTATCATATGACTGAATCTACTTAAATGTGATCCAATCATTTGATCTGTTGTTAACCTTAATGAGTGATTTACCTTACTGAAGGACCTATGGGGGAAGCATAATATAATTCTTTATTTATGATAAAGTAGTATTGAAAACACCATTACTTAAATTCTGTGTTTTATTTATGAAGACCAAAGAAAAGAGTATTGTTGCTCTTTTTTATAGACATTTGCTGGGACCAAATTTTCAGAGAGGTAGCACACAATTTGCCTTTGGTTGTGTGTTGTTCGTCCATCTTTATGTATTGGAAAACTATGATTTTTGTTGGTCTTGAACGACATTGTTGACGTGTGTGTGTGTGCGTGTGTGTTTGTAAGAATTCTCTGAACATAAGCATAATCATTGTATCTCTATCATTCTTGTCATTTCATGTTCAAGTTGTTGTTTAGTCAATATATTCCATTTTATTTTGTGTTCTGTGTTATGCCATAGTATTTGGTAGTTATATTTCTAATATGTTTATGAAAGTGTAGATATTTTTATCTTTGTATACCTTTGATTGTTTATGTGTGCACAAGGTGTTGCAAGATTAGTCGCACCTTACCAGATTTAGTCATTTTCAGTCACTTTAGCAATTGTTGATAATTTCAAAGTTTTACTGAAAGTTTTTTTTATGAGTTTTTTTTTTCTTTCCCACCATGTTTACTTGTGATCTCTTGTTACTATGGTGAATGCACCACACCTGGATGAGAATGTGAACATATAGTCTATTTTATTTGTGTTATATGTAATTTTATCTTAGGTAAAACAATTTCACACTACATGGTAAGTCTAGAAAATTGTTTGAGGGAAATGACTCATGTATTTTACTAAGTTAATTTCTTAAAAAAAAAATTGTACTGGATTGTCCCATTTTTGATGGGTCAGAACTAAACTCAACAGGGTAATAACAAAAATTGACCAAGTTATAGAGTATACAAACACTGATTGTTGAAGTAGTCAAAGAAATCTAGATAAGTCATCAAATTTAGAACTTTCTGGTTGTGTCTGACATTTTGAAAAAAGAGAAATTCCATCTGACTTCCTAGGTTTTGGGGAAAGTTCTAGGGGTACCCCCTCTGGAGGTACTCCCTTCATTATTTTAATGTGAAATTTAATTGAGGGGGCACCTTTAGTTAGTACATACGCCAGCTCTAGAAGTCTTTCTGCCTGCAATACTTTATTTCTAATCACATAGTGTCAGAGTGGTTCCTGTTTCCCAATTGTATAAACCAAGACTTCATTCTTATGTGACTGACTTCTATAAATTAATTTGGATGCTTATCTGACGTCTATTCAAAGACTTAAAAATTTTCAGGAGGTTTAACTATTGTTCCTGTTATGTTACCCAGTTTTGATTATGACAACCAATGTGAGTAGGTGAACAGCTTAAGTTGAGTTTTCACCATAGCTTATAATACAAAGCTCGATTTTCATTAATATTTTACCATATTTTAGGTAGTTTGTGCTGGGGAGAGTTTGAACTTGATTTTTAACTATTGCTATAAATATTTGAAATACTAAGTATGACTTTGATTATACCTATTTCAAATGTTGATGTCTGCAATGTGGGACACATATAGTTTTTGTTGGTGTTTGGGTATGGAATGGGGGAACTTTTTATAGATATTAACTCAGGATTTTTGCATAGCATTCATGTGAAATTTATTGTAATTTATGAAATGTGTGTCAATGCATTGTGTTATTCATATTTTGTTAAAACTTGTATAAATTCTATTCTATGTGCTTTTGTGATGTGAATACTGCTGTACACTTCACCCTAATATACTTCAATGATTGTTAAGTTTGGAAATTTGTCTTGGTCTAATGGTGTAACCTGTCACAAATTACACTTTGTATTTTTGAAAACAAAGAAAGGAATGCTGTAGTTACGTGCATTGTGTATCGTCTACCAAATTGTCTTATTTTTGTGTGTGTGATGAATTATTTTATAGAAACTTGTGACTTGTTTTCCTTTCTTTGTGTTGTGTTGTTGAGTTCTGGAAGTCTCTATCTGCTGATTGGATTGAAGTAAATTGTGCATGTTATAGCACAATGGAATGTGCATTTTCAATTAATGTTAGAGATTTGATTCAATAGAAGATGATGGAAATGTACTCACAATGAAATGAAAGATTTTTTTTTTCTCAGAGTCTGATATATTTATCTTTTAGGTCCAAACTTATTCTTTCAATTACTTAAGGTGTATCTGACCAAAAGACCCAACAACCCTTATTTCGCCATGTATTTTACATCAGTGCCTTATTTCACATTGGTGATGTTATTAAGTGGGACCAAATTACAGTCTAAAGTGCATTGAGAGACTTCTATTCAAAATGTAGTTCATCATGAACAAATTCTTATGGTAAATTAATTTATGGCAACATTGAATGATTGCTTACGAATTGGGTCTTATGCGGCAAAGGGTTCGTGCAATCTGAATTATTTCAATTGATCATAGGGGCTGTGTGTCATCGTTTTCTTCGAATACCCCATATAAGACTGTACTCCCCTCTTTAAAAAAAATTAAAACATAGACATTTGTACTTTTTATAAATAGTTTTTTTTTTTTTTTTTGACAATTCTGTTTCTGGATTTTAATTTTTTTTATCGTTGAAGTATGACTCAAATGTTAAGTTTTAAAAGAAAAACCCCTTTTTTGTTGTTGTATCTTACTCTTTCCTGGGGGAGGGAGGAATTTTAAAGGAATAGAGGATGTGACCCAACGGTCATAGTCATCATGGCAACTCTGTAAAGTTACGTATCTGCTATAGTAGCCATACACCAGCATACAGCACGCTAAGTTAAAGAAATGTCATAATTTTAGTTGTTCTTAAGTATTTTTATTATGAATTAAATTCAAGTCAAATCCCTTAGTTTGAGTTCTAAATGGTAGGGAATGCGGAGTTGCCATTTTGACTTTTGCTGCTGGGTCACATTGTCTATTTGGTAAAACTCCTGTTGACACTTGTTTACACTAAATTAGTTGTGTGGCTTACAAGAGGTGTGACCAAAGATAGTGGGATGGTGTGACTATAAGAAATATGTATAGGATGAATTTGCTGTACAGCCTATCATGATAACGTCTAGGTAAATTGTTACACATTGTTTGCACTTTTTTTGTCAATTATTTAAGTGTGCTGTGATAATAAAACATCAATGTGTGTATATATTAGTAGTTTCTACAGTAATTTGTATGTTTGAACTACTACTAACTGTATGAAATTGGTGTGAAATTTTGTATTTTCCCAGTGCCTGTGGCATTTAACTACAACTTCATAATCTTCTCTTAAGGCCTTAAGAAAGAGGGAGTATATAGGAATTTTCCCAGATGACACCATGAAATAATATACTCCCGTTAAGTAGTTTGGAAAGCTCTTAAACCGCAAACCCTACCCAACAGACTACTTTACTGTATATGTAGTGTGTTAGGTAGTGTTTGCTTCTTGAAATTTTGCCTGATGTAAAGTAGCAAAAATTCATGAGGGTAATTACGCAAAGAGGGTATGTTAACTTTTTTTTTTCAAGCAAAAGATCTAAATGTGTCTTTGTTTTTTTTTTAAATGTGCCTTTTGCCACAGGATATTAGGTCGACATGAAACCTAAAAGTGCTTTTTAGGTGTACAGTGAGACAGAAATGCCACATTTTGATCTCATGCTGACTGGTCTCCTTAGCAACAAGCACATTTTCTTTATTACTAAGTTTTACCTCTTATTTGTTGTCATCATTGCCCTGAAATTTACTGGTATATTATTGTACTTTTCAGCCATGCTGTCTTAACAGTGTGAAAAAGAGCTCTGAAAATTAAACCAATCTCATGTTAGTTTCATTTTTTCTTGTCATTCCAAGGTATAGTCATTCCATTATAGATAAATTTAAGTTTTTCCATTAGCCCTATGTTCGAACCCCCTTCCCCACCCTCTCCCCCGTTTCTTGCATCTTCCTTGTTTCCAGTTTCCACTTTGTGTGACTGTGTGGTATTTTGTAATTTAGAAAAATGTACTTAATACAGCTGTGAATCTTACAATTACTTTTCCCTGGCAGTTTAAATGTACCAACCCTATCATGATTTTTAAATGTTTGATTTGTGGTTAAGTTCATTGAAATCCTTGTTTTGATTAATCCTTTGATTTCATTGAGAAAGGTGAGTCAAACTGTTGCCAGCTCTATTTTCTGGAAACAAACGCTGGACTTATTTGTGAATGATTCGTTTAGCACTGTTTGCATGCTAACAAAAATAAAGAACTGTGGATCCGTACTGACAAATATCTTTTATTTTTACTCCCAAATTGATTTTTATTTTGGAACCATTCTTCCACAACATACCACATGACATGCCACATGCCTTGCAAATCATTGTTCAGGCAAAATCAAGAAACATAATTGGCAATGTTAAACAGTGTCTCTGGAACTAATAAGATTTCAATATGATGAGTCTAGCAACCTAGCAACCAGCCCTTTGCCAAAACCCTTCATGAAATCTGGCCATACCAAATAATTGGCAACGTTTGCAAGTGCAGTACCGAATCCCTTCCCCAATCACCTTGTCAAAGGCATTTCTCTGACGTACCTGCTTTAGAAAAGAAACCGTTGCTTTTTTCGGGTGCTCTTCTTTTGTGTGTTTCACTAACTTATCTACAGCATTTGAGGCCTTGATAAGAATCCCGCAAATTTGGCAACGAACACCCCTAACAGTGTACAAGATGTGTGGTGGGACCCTTTTTGTTCTGAAACGAGGGTCTCCTCGTGTAGGACAATCAGGTATTTCTTCCATTACCCCATCATCACTGCTTTCGTCCGTAGAGTCTGATGCAGTATGGTCTTGTCCTTCACCTTCCTGAACAACCTCCTTCTTGACAATATTACTGAATTCATCCACTTCATCTAGTAAGGAATCCTAAATGGGATGTAGAATCATATGATTAAAATTCATTACATTGTGATGTGAGACATTGACGACACATGACAGGGAGAGAGTATGGAATTTTGCAACAGAATAACTAAAAGGAGACAATTTCATGATAAATGGGCATAAGTCATACCTGATGGCACTCGACAGATGATTGCGATCCATTCCTTTTCATGAGTTCAGATATGAACCATGATATTCCAACAGAAAAACATTCCTCAAGCATTGGTTTCAAATTTGACAATAGCGCTATGGGATTCCGTTCTACCATTGTATCTGATGAGGACATTAAATACTTAACGACTGCAGACCCGACCTCAATCATATCATCAGCACTCACATTAATACACAATGGATGCCTGAGAAGGAAATGAGAATGGTAGATTAAAGAGAGAAAGGTATGACAGGTAAAAAAAAAAGGCTTACCTTTCTCGCAAGGCCCCCTGACTGCTTCGCTCAGAATTCTGAATGAGTTTCAGAATGACGTCTGGTGTTAGTGAAAGGGCGGCTTGTTCCTGGCCACTTGTTGCTGCTGGTGTACAGGGATCCATCACGAGCTACACTCTTTAGCACTGAGACCTGTTAATGGAAAACAAAAAAAAGAGATATGAGGCAGCACTTTGACAATGATTCATAACGTTATCACTATTATATGGGAAAGGGAGTGTCAAAAAATTATCACATCTTTGTAGACTGAATAAGACTTAAAATAAAATATGGATAATGTGTTTAAAATAAATATGTTTTAATTCAGAGTCAGTTAAGGTTATATTTCCCCTGTGCAAGGAACGGTTCTTCGGAACCCAGCCACCGGAAGAATGCACTTACTAATTGAATATCCTACAGGTTTACTGATAATTTGATGCGAAGTGGCCCATAGACTGAACGAATAAAAATATTGAATTGAACAAGAAGAAGATAGCCGCTGGGGCCGGTGGTGGGGGTAGGAACATAACAAACATTCATTTGTTTAGCAGCCGAGACCACGCCATCTTTTCCTTTTCTACTTAACCTCTTCCGTTGCTTCATTTTCAACGCTATTTGACTAAAATTAAGTGTGGCAGTGTTCCAAAAATGCAGAAGTCATAAAATCACTTCAAATTTGTATTAATTTTAATAATGCCCGAAAAGCGTGAGCTAGAAAGATTGCGTCGGTCTCTACACGCTGTGTCTGCTTTGTCTGCTAAACAATCGAGCTGTCGAATGGGTGGCCTACCTCACGAGGCGTTCTAGCCAGCCAGCTTCACGCTGCGAATATCTGCCTGCCTGCGAATAACAGCAATAGCATTTGCTGTTTTCATCGTCATCTAGTGGTGGAGAGCGGCTGCTTGGTGTTGTGTTCGTGGCCTAGAGAAGGTTAGAATTTTTTTTTTTAGAATTAGAACTAGAGCGATCAGCAAAAGTTCTACTGTTGAAGAACAAATACTTAAGCTTAGGAGCAGCTAATTTTTAAATAAATATGTATTTCTAAGTTTTCTGGTTTTACTTTTTTATGTTAGCGGTTTGACTTCATTGGTTAGAAAGGATGACTTTTCATGTCGGTTCCTAATTCTTATTGAAAGAGTGTCCCCCTTACTTTGCTTTAACCGTTTTGATAACCATTGGAACTGTTGGATGAGGACCTCATGAGTGATGTTACAGTTGTGTGCTGAGAAACAACAGTGTTCTGGCACCCCCATCTTTGTTATTTTTATTTTGTACAAGTTTGCTTCTTGTCACCTTTTAAATGTTAATGACAATTTTTGTTTTGTTGTTGCAGATTGAAAAATGAGCGATATAGCACAGTGGTTTAAAGGACTTCCAACATTCACTCGTTACTGGCTTGGATTAACACTTAGCTTTTCAATTCTTGGGCGATTTGGTTTACTTAAAGCTCATCAGCTGATTCTTCTCTATGAACCGTTCGTCAAATACTTCCAGGTTTGCACAAAATGGATGTGAAATTGATAGTCTAACTAAAGAATATGTATTGAACAATAATTTTGGGTGGTTTTTGTTGGTTTCAGATATGGAGACCAGCAACTGCTCTGTTTTATTATCCTTTGTCTCCGGCAACAGGATTTCACTTTATGATAAATTGTTACTTCCTGTACAACTATTCATTGAAGCTAGAAGAAGGTGAAAACTCAAACTTACAATTTATTTAAAGGCAGAGTTTAATATTCCCTAACTCTCTCTTTTTTCTTGTATTTAGGTTTGTATCAGGGAAGGCCAGCAGACTACTGTTTTATGCTTCTCTTTAACTGGATATGTTGTGTCATTGTTGGATTGATCGGCGAAATACCAGTTAGTAACCATTCAAATATTTTCTGTAACTGGGAACTTATCAATTCTTTACTAAATGTACCTTGTTGTTTCAGTTCTTAATGGATCCAATGGTTTTAAGTGTACTATATATTTGGTGTCAACTAAACAGGAATGTTATTGTAAGCTTCTGGTTTGGAACTCAATTCAAAGCAATGTACCTTCCTTGGGTTCTCTTTGCTTTTAATCTCATCATATCTGGCGGGTAGGTGATACAAATTTGTTTCCTGTTACCTTTAGCTGCTTGCTATAATTATCATATCATACTATTGACACTCAAAATTATATCTAATCTTAAATTTTTAGAGGAATCTTGGAGCTTGTGGGAATCCTTGTGGGTCATCTATACTTTTTCCTTACATTCCAACTACCACAAGAAATGGGTGGACCCAGCTTCCTTTCCACTCCTCAATTCCTGTAAGTTAAATTTTAATTATAAGCCTCGAGTGATACATAAGTATTTTGTTTAAAAAAAAGATGAAGTTCTTTAACGTTGAATTCTTTACTTCTGTATTTTAATTCAATTTTTCTTGTTGTACAGGTATAAGTATTTTCCCAATCAACGAAACATGGGTCTTGTATTTGGCGCACCCCCGGCTAATCGTAGACCAGCTGAAGGGGCTGCTCCTGCGGCAGGAGGAAGGCATAGCTGGGGACCAGGTCATGTACTTGGAAACTAGTAGTAAATTTGCCTAAATTTCTTTCTATTTTCTATTTTTTTCTGACATTGTATATTTGTATTGAAAGCATCCATTGAACTCAATCATAAAAATTTATTTCAACACTTTGTGTTAGCTCTTTCAACACTTTGTGTTAGCTCTATCATTCCACTTTGACAGATTTACCTCAACTATCTTGTGTCACTGGTTTTCAGAATGACAATGTTTTAAGTCCATAATGATCCCATGATCATATTAAAATGGTTCACACCAAAAAAATAACTCATCAACTATGGGGAAAAAAGTTTAAGAACACTGTTAATGTGTGATAATTTGCTGCATCATCATACTTTTATTAGCTATCACATAGATTTTTTGAAAGTTGTTGATAAAGTTGATGTGCAATCAAATTGTACTGTTTGTGATGTTTCAATATCAACTGTTATTGAGCTAGCCTCTGAAATAAAGTAGCTTAACTTTGCAATTTCACTGTTGATGATTCTGTTACTTGGTGAATTGGCCTGTGAAGTTGAGTTTGTTGTATACTACCTAATTCATATTTGTATCTAGTTATTATTTTTCTTCTAATTTATTTAACCTGCGCCTCATTTTTTGATCTGATTTGAGGGCTGCAGTTTGGCTTGTGAATAATTGAAGCATGAACGAACATGCCTACTTGTTGTGTAATGATTTCGTTATAATATTTTGTGAGATTTCATTGACTAATAAAGAAAATTAAAAAAGACAGCAACATACGAAATAGTAGTTCCTTCTCCAAGTCTCTACCAAGGAAAGATGTGCGACTATGCCCAAGACATCTTAGTCTTGACCTAAGAGCACACTTTCTGAGGATAGGCAGTTCACTTACATTTCCTCTGTATACTTCTAATCAATCAATACCTGTCCCGGTCCCCGCGCAGGTCAAAAACCCACGATCTTCGCACTGCCAACTTAACAACTGCTGCAATTCAGTACTTTTGATGCAAAATAAAATACCCATTTAAGTTTGTTTTCTGGAAGAAATGATTAAAAATTGAGTCAATTTCTACATTTACGATATGATAGCCCGACTACGTTTTAGGAAACGAACGAAATGTATTTTTTTTCCTAAATTGTTTTGTTTGTTGTTGGTAATGAGAAAGAAATATTGCGGTAGTCCTGGATCTATTCTGCTGTCTGCTTCATTTATGTTTGTGTGCATTCCTTGAAAAACCAGTCATACTGCTGTATCTGACGCATAAAAGCAGACTTGTAATTTTCCTTGTTGAAGCAACTTTGTTTAGGACACACTGAATCTATCGGGTTCGTAGTATCTCGCATAAAATGGTCAGTAGGCCGACGCCTGTGCCAATGCCGTGTGTGTTTACAAACATGAGCCCCATTGCTGAATTCAGGTAGGTGTTCCTTGCCAGTTTTTAAGTAGAAAAAAAGCAACAACAAAGAAACACTCAAACTAAGCATAGTGTATATTTTTCTTCATTGTTTAATTAAACCAATATCACATTATTATTGTCAAATTCTTTTCCTTGCAGTGAAAAATGGATGATATCTAGACCTGTGGCTTGGGCATTCAACATCATACGAATTCCTTTGAACACATAAATTTTGGTTACACATTTTGTTACGTGTAGTGTCAGGTAAAATGATAAATGTTGTTGTTTTTATTTTTAAGATTCGACATAATTACTGGATTCCTGGATAACATCATCTATTTCTTTAGGTATATGAGCGAAAGCTTGAAAGAGCTGAAAATGATGGCCTGCATTCAAATTTTATTGACAGTAATAAGGATTTCTTTTGCAATGGCCTCATTGCCTCCTCAACTGATTTTGAACAAAACTGCTATGGACATTTATGAAGAGAGTTTTGAAAGAGTGTGTGATCTTCAGCAAGCGAGTGTTGGACTATACCTTAAACCATGGCAAGAGATACCTCAACATGCCCAGGGGTGCTGGGTACCATATTTTGGACCGCAAGGTCATGGACTTCTTCCTGAAGAGGTTTGCACTGATTTTTTTTTTTTTGATCTAATATATATTTTATTTGCTCTTTAACATGTGGTAAAGAACGAGTGTTGTTCTCAGTGCAGTGTAACACCAAACATGATGCCATATTCATCTCGGAACATAGAATACCTACAGACTTAACACTTACACCATTTGAAACTGGGAATGCCGGTGTTTCTTCAAAGTATGAACTATTTTTTGAGTTTAATATAATATTTTTGAGAACACTTAACAAATCTCGCCGATTTTCGTGCTAAGTCCCTAACCCAGCTTATAAGTGGACATTTTAATCTCATTTCTTCTGCAGAAGAAACAACAGCTACAAACATAAAAGTACTACTAGTCAAGATTAGGAACCTTGCTGCTACTTTTAACAGTTAACTTTTTTCATGATTAATAGTATTATTTTGAAAACTCTTAACTCTTAATAAAAAATTTGAGGGTTTTCAGTCTAAGTCCTCCAGCCACCGAGCCAGCCGCCCTCGGCTGCGTTCGGGCCCTGCCTCGCGCTCCATCGTTGGGGCTGCCCCCTCGGCCCCCTCCCTCCCATCGATGAGTGTTGTTGTAGTTGTCTCTCTTTTCATTACTCCAAAAATACAGTTTCAAATGGTAATAAGTGTTATGTTTGACAATATTCTATATTCTGGGATGAAGATACAATAATTTTAAGAATATTGTAAAGAACGAGTATCCATTTTACCACAAAAGTAATTTTGTGCTTTCTTCTCCCTTGTTTTAATTATTAGGTTCACATAGTTCACATCACGGACATCAACAGAGTAATTGAAACTCTTCCACATCCCAAACAAATCATTGTAACAGTAAATTTGCAATTGAATGATTCTTTCTGTCAAAACAGTGCAGATGATGAGTTTCAATCAGGACTACGCAAAGCCAATTTTGAACTCTCTAATAGCAATATAGGGATTGGAAATATTGAAAAAAATATTCCATCTATTCTGCAGTTCAGAGATTTCCCCAATCGTGCTCCATCAAAAACTTTGACATTTACCAGTGGACAAAACTCAAGGCCCCCGATTTCATCAAATCCAAAGGAGCAAATTATCCAGCGACCTCTTGTACTTCTTTTAACTTCAGACCAACCTGTTACTTGGAAAATAAAAGAAGGTGCTTGTTGGAAGCAGGAAGTGGTGAGCAAAGTTCAAGCAATTGTAAGTAGCAAGTACCTAATTTAATGTTATCCTTTCTAAGTTTATACTTTTTTTAAATGTCATTGCTTGAATTGTGCTTGGTACATAATCAATCATTAAACCTTTATTTTATATGTCTACAATTATTTTTTTTATAATTGTTTTACAGGTTGAAAGAGAGTCTGCAGTTGTTTCAGATATTGCATTAGAGGTTCTTTCAAAGACATGGGTGAAACGAATCAATAGAAAAAGTATTCAGAGATATGCAAGGAGAACATTTCATGGGGTTGCTTCTTTTACTCAGGCTAAAGCTGCAAATGCAATAAATATTAGTGTTGGTCCTTATGGATCGCCTCATGAGATTACACACTCGGTGCCATTGCGAGATAAAAATAAGCTGAATTTCTGTGACTTCAACTCTCGTGAGGATAGTCAAGTGGTAACAGCCTCTCTTATCATGCCACTGTCTTTTCAGTACTGTGTTTTGGGGCAGTCAAATTCAACGTAAGTCAATGATTTCTTTTTCTTTTTAAATAAATAAAAAATTTATTTAAAGTTAACATCTTACAATGGAAATCTTTTCTTTTTCAGAAAATCATTTGTAATTGAAATTCAACAATCCCAGTTGTCAGCAGGAAGGAAGAGACAAAAAGGATCAGCCGATTTTCCTGGACCTGGGCCTACTGTCACAAATTTACCTCGCACTGTTATCTATTTGTCTGATAACATGACTCATCAAGCTCATCAAGCTAGGGAAAAAGAAAATTTTCATTCACAAAATGTAACTATTTTTCTTAAATCGTATCAACCTATTCAATGGGTAGTTTTTCCATCAGTGCAGCATACTAATTTAAATATTGTGGTAAGTATGCTTTGCAACTTAGTTCAACTTATTGTATAGCTGTTATGCCCTCACTTTATTTTTATTTTGTATTTTTTTGCAGACCAGTTCTACTGACATTATTGATTGCACCAATAATTGTGGTACATCTATAACATTATCAAATCGTTTACTTCCCCAAGTTGGATTTGACTTACTGTATGAAGTTTTGACTGAGACAAACACTCAAGTCTATTATTTCAGAGTCGAACATGTGACCGGCCTAGCTTTAACAATTGAAGGATTGAGTGATGAAAGTAAGTTTCTGACTATTTAAGAGTTGTTTAATGGTTCAATAATTACACTAAAATCCTGTCTTTCAGCCATTCATGAGCCAGCCAAGGCTCGTAAAAACAACACATCTCTCTTTGGCTTCCCATCAACAGCACTTAACCAAGAAGATAGTTCATCTGATATTACTAATGATTTTAATGGTTGGTTTGCAAGGGTGTTCTTCTCAAATAAGATAAAAGTATCTCGTGATTTTTAATTTTTCTGTTTTTGCAGAAAGGAAGAAACAAATTCTGACTATCCTGAAGTCTGAAATGATTATAGTTTGTGGAAAATTAATGCTAGAAGTATTTTTGCCTGCACCAAATCTAGTTGAGCTAGGTGTTAAAGTTATCTCTTTACATGACAAATCCTGTCAATCCCACACCAATGGCTCTCATTTCATCTTGGCAAGTTTGCTGAAAGATTGTGGCTCTGATGTTCATACAACAGATGGCCAGGCATCTGTCATCTCTAATGAAGTAAGATTAATTTTCAGAAAAATATTTAAGTCTTTATTTTGGTATGTGCTATGAAATTTGATTGATAAATACATAACATTATAGACATCATGTCATTTTGGTTTGGTATAGGTGATTGTTGATATTGCAACTTCTAACATTCAAAGTGATCAAGTTCTATCTACTCCAAAGGCTATTAATCCTCAGTTGGCTCAAATAGGAGTCCCTATTGCATGTGGTTGGAATGAGGATTATGTTAGGTCCATCTTCAACTCAAGAGGAGATTTACCCTCAGAGGAGGATGAGGTATTTTGACTTTACTGAATTTTATTTTAATCAATAGACAAACCAGGCTGATACTTAATTAAATCCACTTGTTGCCATTTTTGTGATAGGAAATTGATACATCAAGCTCACGGAGCCCATCAATATACCAACTCGAGCTGTATTATCAAGATTCTCTTTCAGAAAATTTGTCTCCCATAAAAAATAAAAAGCTTGTGAAGGTTTTTGACAGAATTTACGTTAGAGCTTGGATGGATGATGGTAATAAATTTCTCTGTATTTGAATACATTTCGGCAGAAACCTAGAATAAATTTCTAAAATGTAATTCACAGCACCCTATGCACAAGCTGTAATGGAAAGTTGTTGGATCAACAACTCACCCCATTCTTCATTATGGCACTCACAGGAGAAAAATGTTCTTATCAGTGGCATGTGTCCAACGGAGAAACATGTTAATTTGGAACCACAATCACTTGCACTTTCACCATCCAAAACCAGATCATTTTTGTTTAGCTTCCAGGTAAGTTTGTGATTTGAATTGTGTTTCTAGTTTACTTTGATTTCTCTATGTTTGTGTCGTGCATGCATGTTTTTCTTATTCTGTGGTGTTGTGTAGATTTTAAAGGACTTCGCTTTCATTGGCCATGAGATTTACGTGCACTGTCAAATTGGTGTTTGCCTTTCTGATCTCAAATACTCTAAGGGAAAACCAGTCCTTGTAAGTATTTCATCAAAACTAATTTATGACATTGCACTGGATCTGCTATGACAAATATTCCCTCTTATCCATGATTTTTAGTGTGTCGATCCTCGCGAGTTTTGCCTTCATCAGAAGCTTCTCCCTCAAAGTAGCAAATTAATTTCCACTGCTCATCAGGTGCTTACACGAGGGCCGCTTCTTCTTTCCTCTATCAGTCAGTCTTTCACTCCAATCTGTAAGTGTTTATGGTATCAGAATTTCTTACATTATCTCTTAACATGTTTACTACAACTTTGTACCAGTTTCTTTAGACACTAAATGTACTGACGAAACAGTCTTCCCATTTTCATCCTCAATCAGTATGCACATGACTGTAACAATAGCCATATGCTCATTTATTATTGGGATTGGACTTACTGCAAGCCTGTGGTTGATTCATCACAAGACAGGTGAGTGTCTGTTAATGTAACATTTGATTGTGTGGATTCGTGTTATTATACTGCTTACATTTTCTGCTCAGAACCCAAGCAAGGGGGATATCATACCAGAGGACACTCACTTGGCTCTCAGTCAGCAGTCTTGGGTAGTAGCCTTTCACCACATTCTGCCTGCTGTTCTACAAACTCACAATCAGTAATTACTTCATAGAGAAGATTATTTGATGAACCCAGACAAAATTGTTCAGGGTTTTCTAAATATTTGCATATTTGCCTTATAACAGTACTCTCTTAAAAATCCATGTACTGTGTCTGTATTTCCATGGTTGTTCTTCATGTGATTTCTAAAGAAAGCTATCTATCTGGACTTAAAATAATGTACCCTAGATAATTAGAATTTTAAAAACAAATGTACTTTTTAGTGTAGATGTAAATTTTATGTTATCATTTACATACCTACTATGAAACTCTGAAAACTGCTAGCAAAATACAATACCCATGAACAATGCTGAATTCAAAGTCTAATCATAGTTCTCTTTACCCAGGGGATGGAAATCTGTGAAATTAAAAGACATCAAGTGAAGTGAAGTCATTGGTCAAAATTAAGTCATCTTGACTGTCAGAATTGACATGATTTGACAGTCTCGTGGGATCATTTCAGGCCTTTGGGTAAGGCGCAAAATGGATATCATGGCAAAAGAACTTCACTGTCCCTGCTTTGATCTGAGTGTTCCCCCTGGGTGAAGTTAGGTTCAATAAATACATGCTGATGCAGAGCAATATCAGTTCACCTACAAGTACAAAAACGTTATTGAAATGTATGTAAGCCCTTTCCCTTTTAAGTAGTCAACTCAAACAAGTTCTAACGGGAGGCTATGAATGTAAAGAAATCTACACCCAGTGACCTGCTTTTGTGATTTATAACTTATTTATTACTCCATTTATATATCTAACTAAAATGTAAGTTTATACTGCTTTTGTAACAAGGTGATCACATTGCCCTTAGTTTACTGTTTAGTGCTTTAACTTATCTTCAAAAAAAATGATTGATACTAAATGTGTAGTTCTTGTATTAAATGTAGACACCTGCAGGCCTGTGAACCCAAGGCCAAAGTCTGAGTACAACGTAGTCTCCCTGCCGTGTGCTTATGTTCACAGAATGAATTAATATCAGCTGTTAAAACTGTAAAAGAAGGCAAAATGTAAACAATATGCCAAGTTGATTCACAATGTTCATAAGCCCCTCCAGCATATTCAGAAATAAGTCACAAATGGCCATATATTCTCAGAAGACAGACGATCACTGATCATTTACGAAACAGTCAGGATTGTTTTTAAAACAAGCAAACAACAGGTGAGTTTAAGATGTGTTTAATAAATATTAATAAAAATATTTTAACTTAAAAAAACAGCAAATACAGAATTGATTCTTTTCACAGCATTGTGCATAGTACTCCCATTTACTGCAATTACCAGTACGTAAGAAGACGATAAAGACACCGCTGTGGCAAGTGCTTAAAAATGTTATTAAAAATACAGTGCTTAAAATAGCTCATTGCTTTATGGTACAAACAATAAAAAGACACATAGATTACAATCGATACTGTTAAAACGTTTTAAGAACCGCACATGAGACAATCATCTTTGTTTTGTAGGGAACACACCATAGCAGCAACATTTTGACTGTTGTCCTTTGAATTGCTAAGAGTCCCATTTGTTGTTCCATTGACAGAGTTGTTCTTGGCAAGTTTCTGCTTATCAACAGTGAACTGAATAGCTTGAGCAGCTGGTTTTGTTCGTAAGTAGTACATACCAGTTTTCAAACCCTAAAACCAAAACAGAAAATTTGAGTAAAATAAAGATACTGTAAGACTCACAATGCTACAGAAATCAGACTGCACTTACCAACTTCCAGGCATGGAAATGCATGGATGTGAGCTTCCCATAATTTGGCTCAGCTATATGGATATTTAGTGATTGAGATTGATCAATGAAGGCCCCTCTATCAGCAGCCATTTTTATAACAGTTTTCTGTGAAATTTCCCAAACTGTTTTGTATAGCTCCTTGATTTCTTTGGGGATTCTGTCAATGTTCTTTAACACAAAAGCACAAAATTAGCTTAAACTGGAGGACATTAAAATAGATAACATTAAATGTCATAGGTAGAATACCTGAATAGATCCACCATTGGAAATAATCTCATTCTTCATGTCATCATCCCAGAGATCAATGTCTGTCAGATCACGCAGCAAGTGGTGATTTACAACCTGCAACAAACAGCTTAGTCGGCAAAGAAAACTAAAAAATTAGGAATGTAAAAACAAAAGCAAATCTCAAATACAAACCTGGAACTCTCCTGATAATACCCTCCTTGTGTAAATATTTGATGTGTAGGCCTCAATAGACTCATTATTACCCAAAATCTGCGCTGTTGAGGCAGTTGGCATAGGTGCAAGCAATAAAGAGTTCCTCACACCATGTTTTGCAATCTTGCTACGTAAAGCATCCCAATCCCAGAGTTTAGACGGTGTCACATTCCACATGTCAGGTTGTAGAATCTGCAGAGAAAAATTGAATTATTGATATGCAATATCAAGAAAAGTGTCTGAACTGAAGCATGAATACCAACCCCCTTGCTGACTGGAGAACCAGGATAAGTTTCATATGGGCCAAGTGTCTCAGCAAGCTCACAACTGGCTTCAAGTGCAGCATAATATAAAGTTTCAAAAATTTTAGTATTCAAATCCTGTGCACCTTGGCTTTCAAAAGGCAAGCGCATCAAAATGAAAGCATCAGCCAAGCCTTGAATACCAATTCCTATTGGCCTGTGGCGCATGTTGGAATTGCGGGCCTACAAAAAAATATGTTTAATGAATGGAACTTCAAAGTAAAGACAACAGACTTAGGAAAGGTCTTTAAACGTATCTTTCTAACTTAAAAAAAAAAAATTGATTACCTCTGGAACTGGATAATAGTTCACATCAATTATTTTATTCAGGTTTTTGGTCACAGTCTTTGTCACCTCTTTCAGCTTTACAAAGTCGTAGGTTTTGTCAGGCTTCACAAACATGTTAACGGCAACTGATGCCAAATTACAAACAGCAATTTCTGTCGGCGAGGAATACTCAACAATCTCAGTGCAAAGATTGCTGCTTTTAATTGTTCCTACATTCTGCTGATTGGATTTGCGGTTGCAAGCATCTTTGTACAACATGTAAGGTGTGCCAGTTTCTACTTGAGACTCAATAATGGCCAACCACAACTGCTGAGCATTTATTTGTTTCATGTAGCGTCCTTCTTGTTCATACCTAGGCAAACAAATGTTTCAGTGTCCACCATGATCGTAAAAAGTGAACATAAAAATGCTTCAACTTACTTTTCATACAACTTTTCAAATTCCTCTCCCCAACAGTCAGCAAGACCAGGACTCTGATGAGGACACATGAGGCTCCATTTCTCATTTTTCTCAACTCTCTTCATGAACAAGTCAGGAATCCATAAGGCATAAAAAAGGTCTCTTGCACGAACCTCCTCCTTGCCAGTGTTCTTTTTCAGGTCTAGGAAATCAAACACATCTGCATGCCATGGTTCAAGGTAGATAGCAAACGCACCAGGACGCTGGAAAAACAATTGCATGTGAGATGAGGCTGGAAGGACTTCCCTAAACTCGAGTGTGATATATAAAAACAAGTCTACCTTGTTTCCACCTTGGTCTACGTATTTAGCTGTGTTGTTGTACACACGAAGCATGGGAATAATACCATTTGATGTACCATTAGTGCCAGCAATATAACTTCCCTTGGCACGAATACAGTGAATGTTAACACCAATACCTCCAGCTGACTTAGAAATCAAAGCACAGTCTTTCAGTGTGTCGTAAATGCCTTCAATACTATCATCTTTCATAGACAGCAGGAAGCAACTAGAAACAAACTGTTAATAAAAAATCTAAACAGTGAACAAATAGAACAAATGGGGAATTTAAAATCAATACCTTGAAAGTTGAGGACGAGGAGTAGCAGCACTGAACAGAGTGGGTGAAGCGTGAGTGAAATATCTCTCAGACAGTAGGTTGTAAGTTTCAATGGCAGCATCAATATCATCCCCATGAATACCAACAGCAACCCTCATCAACATGTGTTGAGGACGTTCAACAACCTTACCGCCAATCTTAAGAAGATATGATCTTTCCAAAGTCTGAAAGTAATTGTTGTATTACAAAAGAGGAACTAAGGGCTACAATGTAAGTAATCATATATGGAAATCAACATACCTTGAAACCAAAGTAATTGTAAGAAAAGTCTCTATCGTAGATAATGGCAGAGTTCAAACGATCAGCATTCTTAGTAATGACTTCATAATGAAAATCGGATATCATGGGAGACTTCAACTTTGTAGCTTCATTATATATGTTGTATAAGTCATGCATGACCTCTAGAACAAAAGATTCCAAGCCATTTGAAGCAAAATTTTAAAGAGAAAAATTAAAGCAGAAAAAACTTCTCACATACCACTGAAACTCTTTTTGGTCTCTTTGTGCAGGTTAGAGACTGCAATACGGGCAGCAAGCACAGCATAGTCTGGATGCTTTGTAGTCATGGTGGCTGCAGTCTCCGCAGCAAGATTATCAAGCTCAACAGTTGTGACACCCGGATACAAACCATTGATAACTTTGAGAGTAATGGAGGCCTACGAAAACACAAAAACAACAAACTTAGCTATTGAAATAGAAAGCATACAAAAGAAAGTTGGTAACCAATCTTACCGGATGAAGATAATCCATGTCCAACCCATAACAAAGTTTTTGAATTCTTGATGTGATTTTATCGAAGTGCACCTCCTCTTTACGCCCACCTACAAATATTGCAGGAGAATGTGTTACTACAATGAAACTTGGGAAAAGTGTTAATGTAGAAACTTTAACCTCCAACCTGAGGGGAAATTCTCTTTACATGCATGCCAGACCGAACAAGGAAGACAAAGGAGTGAACAATGTCAAGGATAATGTCAAGAGAGCTCATTTCAATAAGTGATCGGATCAAACACTGGAGGAAGCGTATAAAATTGTAACAAGCCTTGGAGGACACAAATACAGGGAATAAATTATGGTAGGTGAAACAAAAAGCTTTGAAAACCTTGACGTCTAGTAATTATAAATAGATAACAAGGTAATTTCCAGGCTGCTTGTAGTTGAAGCAAAAAGGAAACTGATTAAAATGATAGGTAAGTGAAACACTTTGAATAAAGAAGATAGCCGACGGGCCGGCCCTACATATTTTCTCTGAGTTTGATCTGAAGTAACATAAATATGGCAACGTTACCTCTTTTCAAGACGTACATCCTGTCGGAATTTCTATCGGCAACCATGATGAGGGCCTACGAGCCTTGCTGCACAAAATTATGATCAAAAGTAACAAAGAGAAAGAAACGTTGAGATGATTCGAAATTCGTCACGGCACGGAAAGTGGCGCGAGTTGGCGGGAACACAACAGTCGGGTGTACTCTAGATTGCACCATGATGGCACATATGGCACTGGAGAACAGAACCCTTTTATTTCATTGAATTAATACATTAATCAACGTCCCTCACGTACCATTTTATTTTAACGTTTTTTGCATTCGTTCCTCAGCATCAAATACGTTTAAATACCATCAAATATTAAATTAAATGCAGGTCTCTTCTTTGACCTCGAATAATATACAGGGTGCACACCACATAAGAACCCTCACATTGCTAGAATATGTCAACGATTACTATTTCCATTACCATATGAAACAAGATTATATTTTTTTTCATCAAGTAAGTACATGAATTCGAAAAGTTGAAGATCGAAAATCGAATCTCGTAAGACATCATGCAACGAATGTCGTTAAGTTGGCTAAGTGGTCATACAGCGCCTAAGCGCGAAGTACGAGTGGTAAGGAAATACCAAATTATTAAGAAGATTAAAGGTCATGAATGTAAGCTGTTATGGCATGTAAGGAATTACAGATATCGAGCTCACATTTGTGATCAGTGTTCTGTGGTACTGGTTTTCCAATGGCTTACTTTCAATCATAACTTTTCTGCTAAGCTTGGGAGATTATAAAGAAAAAGTTTTTACCGTTCAACAATTTACTCTATCTTCCAGTAAATAAGATATTACTTCCCTGACTGCTGAGAACATAGCTGTCAATTGTAAGCATTGTATTTCATATCATGAATATGTGCTCCTGAATGAGATTACATTATCTGCTACACTTTCCCTTTGTATCCGTGAAAAGATTATCAAATGTCAGTGGATTCATAACTTAGTCAATTTTTTTTTTTTTTTTTTGCTATCACAGCAAGTAATAATGATTACTGTTGGACCCATAACATTAAGTGAAATAAGACGATATGACATGATAATTGGACTTCAACTTTAATAGATCAGGTACATGTAAATAGAATATTTCCTGAAGATGTTACAGGATTCACATTTATAGAGGTAGAACAATGAAACATGCTAATATGAATAAAAAAGTAATGTCTCCAGATAGAATTAATGATATAAATCTGAAGAGCTATCTGAAAAATCCCTTCATTATTTGCATCACTTTCTTGAATTGTCTCTGTTGATGGACGCTAGTTGTTCATTTTTTCATAAGCAACATATTGGAAGGTTACACCATCTTCTTCTTGAATGCCCTGAGGTAGAGATGAATCTGCAACTTGAAAGAACTGTTTCTCATCAATTGAGTCCATGAATGTATCACACTGAAATTCCTTGAGAATTTTGGTGAGGTAGATGCGATGGCAAAATTGGGAATTCATTGCCAAATTGTAGACGGAGGAGCCACCAATAACCCACGCTGTTTCAATTTGGTTTGATAAGTTTTCTTCTTGCAGGAACTTCAGTATTGAATCAAAAGAGGAGAATACAAGGACACCCTCCGGGACATCTGTAGTTTTGACTTTTGAGGACAAGATAGCATTTACTCGGCCAGGTAGGGGGCGGAACTTTGAGGGAATAGAATCCCACGTCCGCCGCCCCATGATGACCATATTTTTCTTGCTATGGTCACGCGTATCTGAGGTCATTCGTTTGAAAAATGCCATTTCTGACTTAAGTTTCCAGGGCAAATTGCCATTCACACCGATGCCCATGTTCTCACAAGCTGCTACGATCAGATTAATACGCGGTGCCATCTCACAGTGTTTGACTTTTTCTTGATAGGGATTTTAGCTGAGAAACTCGACAGTTCGAGCGCATAGGGCAAAAGTAGTTTGCTGAGGGGTAAGATGGAGTAAGTCCAGAACAGAAACACAAAAAATTAAATTGTGGTAACTATTCTAGACCTCGCAGTACTGTTTCTTTTCTGTTGTCTGCTGTCTGCTGCTGCGAGATTCGCGCCAAACAATAAGCTCGGAAACATGACAAAACAGAAAGCACTATCTAAAATTAGTATTGAACTAGTGTTCAACCGTCACAGACAACATCGCTGTTCTAGTAAGCATGTTAGTAAGTATACAGCCAAAGAAAATGCAAACACTGATATTTAAAACAGTTCTGCAAGTATGTTTTGTGTGTTTGCTCCAGTTTGCTCCTGCTTGTCTGCTAGTAATGAGGTACCATCCTTATTTGCAGGTTGACAGATGGCAGGGCAGGTGGCAGTCAGATGATAAACAAATCGTGAGTGAATATGGCTGTCTGCATAGCTGTCATCGGAAAAGAAGTGAGTGTTTTCCTTAATTCTTGTCAAGAGCTATTCGATTTTTTATAAAGAAAATGTAGTTATTCAATTAATGTGTTCACGTACCGGTACCGTCAAGTTCAAAACGTTCGCAACGATAAAAAGCAAAACAATAAAAAACATCATGGTTACATTTTAACCTGTTTTATACTTTACTCTACATTTCTCCACTATACACTTCGAAACCTCGCTTCTACTATTCATAACTGCGTAATCTAAGATTCTCTTAATAGGTTCGCGATTTTTACGATTTGTGGTGTTGTGTTTCTATGTTGTAGAACTCTCCAAAATATGTTGCGTGTCTTCACTCCGAAAATGAGCTGCAATTTCATTACAAAGTTCACACTGCCTTAGATGTTGTAGAGGAAAAGCTTTCTCTAGCAGGCAAATCAAATTGTGATGTTCGTGAGCTTTATTTGGGGCTCCTTCACTCAACCGAAGAACACAAAATGTATCCTTCAAGCCCGTAATTTGCCTCATTTATCTGAATTTTAGTTGATTTTTACTATTCATGCATATATTGCTTGTACCTTAATATATCACCAGATTTGGATATGTTACAAATACCAAAATAAAATTCATAGTCATTGTCGAAGCTGCAAATACTACATTAAGGGACAATGAAGTGAGAACAGTAAGTGTCCACAACTACACTCAAGCTGTTGTTTGTTGTAAACAAAAATTCTATGTCATTTTTAATGATGGTTTTCTTGCAGATGTTCAGAAGATTACATGCGGCATACACAGATGTTGTTTGTAACCCATTTTACATTCCTGGTGACCACATTGTATCCAAGTAAGTAATGTTTTACAATATGAATATGTCCTTTATTTGTGCATGTAAGATCATTTAACTAATATTTTATCTTCTAGGAAATTTGAAAATGTGGTTAAAAGTATTATGAGTGGAAATTCATGATTATCGTAGGATAAGATTTGAATTTGTTCTACCTCAAGTGATTCAATTGATGTCTCTCAAGAAAAAACAAGATCAAGCTGATAAATGCTTAATTGTTCTCTTTATTTACAGTTTAAAACCTTGATAGTAAACAAGTTTGTACAGTATTCATTTCTGTTCAAATAATTATACCTCCTGAAAATCGACGGCTACATATAACAATACACTGTCCCAAACACATCAGTTGAATCTAATGACACCCCATAATTAATGGTGATGCTCATACTCTTTGGGATCAACTTTACCATATTTCTTCTGCCATAGTTCAACAAATTCTTTCTTCCTTTGCTCTCGAAGGGCGAAATATTTGGGATAGAAGGCTTTCTCCACTGGGTCCCAGAAATCGACAGCCTCATCTGGTATGATAACGTTTCTGTCATAGGCCACTCCTCCAGGAGAATTGGGAACTGAAAGAAACATAATGCATTATTAACAAGAATGATGAGAGGAGTTTCCTACTGAAAATTAAAATTTTTGCTATGATTAATTAAAAGTTAGGCTCAAAAATGGTAATATGCGACTTACATTTGATCGGAGCATAATGCAGTAGAGAATACAAATGATCTTCACCCTTTTGAACCAATTTCGTAGCTTTTATCATATCTTTCTCATCCTTATGTTTGTCGAAAGTTGCTCGGAGGAGAACGGCTTGGTAACGGAATTGGGCCCTGCAATATCGAAATAATTGATTTCAAGATCACCCATAGGGTTAGGTTAGAGGACCCTACTTGATATGAGCCCGCTGACACAGATTATTGTCACTCAAGACAAGAATAGAAAGACAGGAAACAAGCATTTCTTTAATCTTATGGAAACATAAGATCGTGACAATACCAATCGTGCAGTACAAACGGCTAATTTTATCCATGTTCTATTTACTAACCTGTCGTGATAGTAAGCTTGAAGGTTCCTAGTCATTCGCTTGTAGAGGCTGCATACTTTCCGAGTGTGTGAAATAACTTCGAATGGCGTCCGCGTTGCCATGATGACAAATTAAATTAAATTACAAACTAAATAACTTCAAATCAGCTGTGAGAAAACTACGACGAGGGAATCAGCGGAAGGATCCACAGCTAGCAGCCGCCGCTGTTGACGAAAACTACGACGGACACAAGTACCAACAACAAAACTTTTTACAGCATAAAAGTGGCCCCATGTATCAGGTTCAATCAACCAGGAAAGCCAAATTATGCAGGTATAAAATTGATTACATTGCTGAGTCCCACTCTTACTTCCAGCCTTGGTGCTGTATCTCCTCGAAATTGGAAATTGGCAGCCTTTCAAGTGCTGACGCTGGCAGTGGCAGCGCAGGCAACGACTGGCACGACTACTAAGTGCGCGCGTTTCATTTGACTTGTCCCGCTGTGCAGTCATTGACAGAATTGACGGAATTTTGAGTGATTTCGGAAGGCAGAATATGTTATCCAGCCTGGGCTGTGCAAGCAAGGGAATCCGCCCGGTCCCAGTACAAAATAAATTCACAGATTCAATAATGGCAACGTGTTCTATTTCCTACGAGTTTTTATCAGATGATACCTTGAAACACTTTCTACTTAACTTAAAAAATATACAT